CACTCCCTGAAGAAGGTTCGTAATCATTGTTTTTCACATCATTGACAAAGAATAGCTTATAATTTGAATATGGATTATTTCCTTTTTTTAATATGCTGTGGATAGTTCAGAATATTCTAATTCCCTTCATATCCAGGTACCTCCAAGTGCCATTGGAAGGAAATTTAGATGACACAAATGCATACCTCTTTGGCTCACCATTATATTCCCAGTACTCTTCTCCAACGTTACAGCTCAAAGGCTTCACTTCTTCTGTCAACCTTATTCATTGTCCAGCTCTCAGATGCATAGCAAGTGGTCAGGAAAACTATGGCCTGAATCAGATTCACCTTAGTCCTCAAAATGACACTATTGCTCCTCAATAATTTGGAGAGGTCCCTGGTTGCAGACTTTCCCAGTGTAATACGTCTTCTGATTTCCTGACAGCTGGTACCAAGATTGTTGATTGTGGATCCAAGTAAGATGAAATTGTTGACAACTTCAATGTTTTCTTCATCCACTGTGATATTGCCTATCAGTCCAGTGGTAAGAATTTTTGTTTTCTTGACAGTGAGATGCAATCCATATTGAACACTGTATTCTTTGATCTTTTGCAGCAAAGCCTCCTCACTTTCAGCAAGCAAGGTTGTGTGTGCAATCTGCATAAGTTACTGACAAGACTTTCTTCAATCCTACTGCCACACTCTTCTTCACATAGTCCAGCTTCTCAAATAATTAGCTCAACATATACATTGGCTAGGTATGGAGAGAGGATACAACCCTGACGCACCTCTTTCTCCAGTTAAGCCATGTAGTGTTCCCTTGTTCTGTTCACCCAACAGTCTCTTGGTCTAGGTCGAGGTTTCTAATGAGCACAAAACAAGTGTTCTGCGATTCCCATTGTTCTTAAAGTTCTTAAGTTAAACCATAACCTGTTATGATCCACACAGTCAAATGTATATGCATAATCAATAAAGCATAATATAGACATTCTCCTGGCATTCTTTGCTTTCAGCCAGGATTTGTCTAGTGCCAACAATGATATTCCTGGTGTCATAGCCTCTTCTAACTCCTGCTTGAATTTCTGCCATTTCCCTATCTATATACTGTTCCAGCCATTTTTTAAATGATCTCCAACAGTATTTTCAGCTGTGATGTTGGAGAAGAGTATTCAGTGTCTCATGGACTGCCAATATGTCTTGTAGAAAGCACAGCCAGAGTACTCCTTGGTGGGAAATATGATAAAGCTTTGTCTCACATACTTTGGGATGTTGCTAGGAGAGGTTATTTTGAGGACAGGGACATTTTGCTTGGAAAGATAAAGAATCAGCAAAAGAGAGCAAGGCCTTTGACCAGACTGATTGACATGGAATGACTGCTGCATTGGGCTCGGGGGTGCCAGGTCAGGTTAGGACAAGGTTCAGATCTGCTGTGCACAGGGCTACCATGAGTTATACTTGACTCAATGGCACCAAACAACAACAATATTTCCAATAACTAAAAGAGTGCCTGACAAATTGTCTCTCTCTCATTGCTGTCAGTTTAAACCAATTCCAGGCTGACCCTCCAGTGGGTTTTCAGGTATTAAGTGCATGGGAGGAGATTGCCCATGTTTCTCCCTTGGACTAGGTGGTGACTTCAAACTGCCTGACTTTGGATTGGCAGTGCAACTCCTTATTCATTAAGCAAACAGAACTGTGGTAATGACTTATTTATTCAATTAATGAGTAAATGTCTTCCATGACTGGGCGTAGTATCCTTTTACTCTAGCTCATTTTCCTAAAGCATCTGGGTTTGCTTTTGTGTGTGTGTCTGTTCCTCTATCTGCGATTTCCGTTACATATGATAGCTCGGCTGGGCCGTAATTCTCAGTGGTTTATCAACAGATGCCAGGTGGAGTTATGTAATGACTAATATCCCTCATGATGTGATCTGAGTGATCAACTCGGAACTGACAGTAGGTGATTAGGGTGGGAATGAATCAGACTTAGTCAGGTCCGAGCACTGATCTATCGTGACATGGGGCATGAGCTGCATTGCATTTTATCTTACAAGAAACAAAAGGAGAGAGAAGCAATTAGGGAGAGGGGGACCTGGTGTAACCAAAAGAGAAGAGCCAGCAGTGAGGAAGCTCATTTTAAGCTCCATGATTCTCATGCTGTGAACTTCCTAGATTCAGACCAAGATGAACAAGGACTTCTCTCATAACTCGCCAACGGGGTAAAGCCTTTTCCTGTCACACTGGTGCCCTGAATCCATATTTCTAGCCTCCTGTGCAGTAAAGGGGCCCATTTCTGTTCATAAATGTTACATTTATGTTATAGCAGCAACTAAGACACCCCATAAGTGTTTTTTAAGGCATGTGTGTATGCTCAACACTTTCTTTATTCTTTAAAATTCTTTTATTCTTTTTTAAAATAGATGGCTCTTACATGCAGACATCCTTCTCAAAAAGAAGTGACAAAGCTCAAAGCTAGGTCAACTAGGTTTTTGTCAATATATTCTTGGAGGCAAGGATTTTGGGGCTACGTCTGACATACTTTGGACATGTTATAAGGAAGGACAGGTCCTTGGAGAGGGACATCATGCTTGGGAGGGTGGAGAAACAATGCAGAAGGGGAAGAACCTTTCTGAGGTGGACTGATTTAGTGACTGGGGTAATCGGGATGAGTGTGTCAGAGGCAGTGAGATTAACACAGGATAGAGCAGGGGTTAGGGCTGTTGTACATAGGGTCGCTATGAGTCGCAAGCGACTCAATGGCACGTAACAACAACAACAAGAAAATTGTCTTAAAAATAGTGTTTTGCCCACATACATGTAAACAAAATTTGTTTTGCACCACTGCTCCTAATGTTTTCTATATGAAACATTAAGCAAATCAAGTTTCCTTCAGTGGTCTAAGGAGAGAGCACCAACAGTGTAAACGATGAGAGTTTCATGTTTCTATTCTTTCACCTATGCCTAAGTGCTGACGTCAGTGGTTCTAAACCATCAACTGCTACATGGGAAAAAGAAATGGCACTCCACTTCTACAACAATTACAGGCTTGGGGACCACAATGAGAAGTTCCACTCTATCGCTATAAATTGGAATTGACCCGATTACAATGTGTTTCATGATTTAACTCTCTACTTGGGGTTAGCTCTTCTAAGAAATCAAACTTCCAAGAGACATGCTTTGCTGGCTTTTCCCCCTGCATTTTTCAGAGAAAAGATGCAGTCAGAGAAATAAACTAGCAAAGAGAATAGCATTCTAAGGGGGAGGGGGGGTGAAGAAAAACCCGAACACAACAAAACAACAAACAAAGCACATTATGCTTTTCAAGGCTCTGTGTCTACTCAGACCCAGAGTTTGGGAGAACGGAAACTTCACTTCACTTGGCTGTGCTCATTTCCTGCGCTAGAGGTTGACAGAAGAAACAGACATTCTGCTTGCTTGTCACTTCAGCCTCTTACACTGTGTTCTTTTTTATGAGGCTCGATGAGAAGTATTTTCCTTCCTTCTCAGAACAAGGAAAAGTTGTGCTTTTCTTGAGCCCTAGATTACTCTTCTTCTCACAAAGAGAATGAATTGTGTATTTTAGAGATTGTTCCTCAGGTCACATATTAGCAACCAGAGAACATTTACCAACTTAAGGGATTATATCCTGTAATGTCCCCCCTCCCTCAAGACTCCCTATATGCTGAATGCTTGTTTGGGAGCCTTTCTTAATGTTATTTTTTTTTCCTTATTCAGATTCTCTGTACTCCATCACCTTCTACAATTTCTTTTCCTTATAATTTCTAATTTTGAAGGCTCCATCACGGTCTTAATGGAAGGAAGATATTTGCATAATATGCAAAATATATTTTCTTTAAAAATAAAAAAGACTACTACTATTCACATTCTTGTATAATAAAAACTTATCTGTGAGGCAAAGTATATATTTTCAAAGACAGTATAGCAGGGAATTTTACCATGGAGATATTGTTTAGAGATTCAATAGTAATGTCATTAAGTGCAATCAAAGGAGCCATGCTCATTAAAAACTGGCAGAAGAACCAACACGTGCTATTTAATAATCCTGAGATCCACTCCCTGGAAAAAAAAGCTAACATTTTTACATATAACTAGCGAATTTTTTTAAAAATACTGAAGCTATCATTTAAAGAATTGGTGATTATTTAGTGTTAAAATACATTCAATGCTACAAAGCAAAAATCATCCATAATCTTACGTGTGCAAAATAATATTTAAAGATAGTATGATGTTACCCTCAATATTTTTTCAAGTGGACTTTCCTATGTGTACATAAATGAGAAACCACTTATATATTGTAGTTTCTTACTGATTTCATTACAATGTGAGTTTCTTTAATTCTATTTTTCATAGCCTCTCCTGACGAGGGTGAAACTGGGCTGTTCCTTAGAGGCAAGGATTCTGAAGCTTCGTCTGACATACTTTGGGCATGGTGCAAGAAGGGATCAGTCCTTGGAGAGGGACATCATGCTTGGGAGGGTGGAGGGACAGCACAGGAGAGGAAGACCCTCGATGAGATGGATCGATTCAGTGACTGGGGTAATGGGAGTAGGTGTGTCAGAGACAGTGAGATTGGCACAGCATAGAGTAGGGTTTAGGGCTCTTGTACAAGGGGTCACTATGAGTAGCAAGCAACTGGACGGCCCATACAACTACCTTATCTATTAATTCTCCTCCTATATTTTTAGTATTGAAAAGATTATTTTTTAAAGATTATTTTAATGGCTTTTACTGTTCCTTTTTAGGTGTACGCTGTGATTCGTAGAACCAGACCTTCTATTTAAGATGTCAACAGGTTTCTTTTCTTACATTGCATCTGTCTGGCAATTTACCAGCGTTTACGTTATTCATGTAGAGATGATTCTATCTAGGCTCCTTGGGAACAATAAAAGAAGTCTTTAAGGCAAGACAGCTACAGGAACAAGGGCCATTTACCAGGTGATCACCTGTCGGAAATGAAATCCAACTTCACAAGGAAGACATGAGCAATCCAGACACTTACTAATTTCTGTAGCAATGATTGTTATGTTGTGCCAGACACTTAATTCTCTGTCAAGTGGTGTCGCCAGCGTTATCTTCCCATCATCTGCATTAATGTTGAATTGTCTCTCCAGGTCAGTGTGTCGGTCAATGGAGAACCTACAAAACAGATATATTTGTAATCTCTGTCAATGTTTATATGATCTATCCTTTCCACAGCAGACCTTTAGTAATCCTTGGAGAGCCATAGTTGCGAAGTACAATGAACTAGGGAACACAGTGGCATCATAATCTGTAAAACAGAATGACTGAATGGGGCACAAGAAACTTAATAATTATTGTCCAAGGAGTAATTAGCTACATATGCAACATGGAGGTCATAAACTGCCATCAGTTTCAATGGGTAGCAGTTTCAAAAACGGATGCTGATGAAGAGTTAATTGGACAATCCATCACTTTTATTGGACAGCTTATGACAATTAGCAGTCACCAGCAAATACCATCTAAAACAACAAACTCAAGCCCCAAACAGGATGTACTAGGAAGCACGCTATTTATGGAAGCTCAAGGAAATAACGTATTTTGCTAAACTTATATTTGGCTCAGCAACATTTATGGGCTTTGCATTTGGCTGTACTTTAAACTTTTTATTGCAGTTTGGAAGTTTTACAGAGCAAATTCATTTCCATACAATAACGTATGCACATTTTGTTTTCATGGCACGGCTTGCTAGCCCTCTAATGTTCCCTTCCCATTTCCTCCCTGGGTCCCTCATTTCCATTCATCCTTCTTTCCTGCCTCTCTTTGCCTCCCGGGCTGTAGACTGAGGCACTTTTCCTACCCTTTTGGTCTCCCATGGTTGACTGTACATTGGAGCACATTCCTAAGATGATATTATAAGTATGTCTACTGTTTACCACCAAATCTCTGATGACATAGTAGCACGTGGCACTCATAACCAAAGGGCTTTGCATCACTAGTGATTTGAATCCACCCAAAGAAAGCTGGGCAGCTTCTTCTCTTTGGAAATCCAATGGAAGGAACCTATGAGATGGATTCGACTTGACTACAGTAAGTTTCTGCAGTGAGATTGTTTGTCTTAATGTTGATCACCAGACTTGCCAGGTGCCTAAAGCTACATTTTACTCAGATCCACAATTAATACTTAATGGAAGCTGTGGTCAAGAAATCAAAAGACATACTGCACTGGGTAAATTTGCTATCGAGGACCTCTTTGAAGTTCTCAAGAACAAAACGTCAGTTTAAAGACTAAGATACATCTGACGCAGGCCATGGCATTTGGGCAATGAATAAGAAAGTGGGAAAATAAATAAGAAATAAATACTGAAGAACTGATGCCTTTGAATTGTGGTGTTGGCAAAGAGTATTGAATATCGCAGGGATTATCAAAAGAATAAACAAATCTGTCTTGGAGTACATAAGCATAGTAATTTTCAGAGGCAGGGATGGTGAGAGTTTATTTTGCTTATTTGGTCATGTTTTCAGGAGGTGTACCTAGTATATTTTCTCTTTACATTATTGTTATTGCTGTTATGTGCTGTTGAGTCGCCTGTGACCCTATATACAACAGCCCTAAATCCTGCTCTATCCTGTGCCAATCTCACTGTCTCCGACACACCCACCCCCATTAACCTAGTCACTGAATCAATCCATCTCATCGAGGGTCTTCCCCTCCTGCACTGTCCCTCCACCCTACCAAGCATGATGTCCCTCTCCAAGAACTGGTCTCTCCGGGCAACATGTCCAAAATATGTCAGACGAAGCTTTAGAACCCTCGCGTCCAGTCTTTGTCCTCCCCAGGACAAACCTGTTCATTCTCTTAGCAGTCCACTGTATATTCAATACTCTTCTCCAGCACCACTGCTCAGAAGCATCAATTCTCCTTCTGTCATCCCTAGTCATTGTTCAACTTTCTGATGCATAACAAGTGATGGCAAAGACCATGGCCTGTATCATACACATCTTAGTCTCCTGACTGACATCATGGCTCTTCAGTACTTTAGAGAGGTCTCTAACAGCAGACTTTCTCAATGCAATACGTCTTTTAATATCCTGGCTGCTGGTGCCAAGATTGTCAATTAGATAAATAAAAAAGTAATTGCCTATAATTCTCTGCCTTTAATTTTATATATGGCAAGTATTTTAGTATATTTCTTCCTAAACATTGAGTGTCCATGTATATATGTACGTATAGGGATGCGCGGGCTCCTGTTTATATCTCCGGTTGAGACAGTGCTAGACTAAGAATAGTATCTACTGCATCTCTTTTCAGCTATTTATTTCTTAACAGAAATGGAATGCACATCCTCATCCAAAAACCCTAGTAATATTAAATTACAAGGCCTGCTTTTGTAACAACTTATTTGCAAAGTAGATTTAGACATTTGCTTGCACATATATAACTGTAAGTGCATAACCTCTCCCTTCTCACAATGATTAGAAATTCAAAAAGGACGTTAGAACCCAGAGGTGATATGTGTTAATAGTGCTTGCAACAAAGTCCCAAGCATGATCAATTGTTTACCCCAAAACATTACAATATTTTGTATGGAAAAAAAAATCCCAAAAGTTATTTTCTTAGGGAACAGAGATGTTTGATAAGATCAATGAGATTCCAAGTTTAACTGAATAGACATACTTTGATCCCCATACCATGTGCATGCTGACTCTCAAAAGAGCAAAGAAATGTCCAGAGGATTAATTATCACTTTTAGAATCATATTCGTAAATAAAATTCACAGGATGTGCTCGGCTGTGGCAATCTTATTCTCTCATTGCTGATATTTCACACACACTTACATCAACATCCCAGAGGCCACAACAAATGAGAGTCATTTTAATCACTGATACTGATGGACCTCAAGTTGGAACCACACACGAGTGTTATTTGGTTACTGTCCAGTAATTGTCTAGAACTTCTGGCCAAAAAGGAAGCAATGAAAATAGCAGCAGGATTTTGGAAACTGGCATTTAAAAAACTGTTGTTGTTTATTTAATCCCTTTTCAAATCAGTGGGATGCATATCTCAAATTTGGAGCAAATTCTAAACCTGCCATCTATTTCTAGCTGTTTCTAGGATAATTGGTAATTTTTCTTCACTGGGAAAATGCGAGGGATAATTGGTAATTTTTCTTCACTGGGAAAATGCGAGGTATATGGACTAGAGGTAAGGAGTTGTGCTGCCAACCCAAAGGCAAGGGGATCAAATCCAGCAGCTGCTCAGATGGAGAAAGAGGGGCAATCCTTTCCCATGTAATTTACAGCCTCTGAAAATTACGGGAGGATCAACAATGAGTTGGTTCTGACTTAGTGGCAATGAACAATAACCTATCTCCCAGGAGCAGTTATGGTGCTTAAAAATAGAATATAAAAAAAAAAAACAAAACCCAAAAAACAAACAAACAAAAAACCCTTGATTTTGTTTATTCTCTAAAAATAATATATAATATACACCTCTCTGTCTTTGGCACCGAGGACATGCTGAAATATGTGCTTGGCTGTTGTAACCATTGCCAATGACGTGAGATCTTTGCTACCATCATCATCGTTCATTACATGGGACCTTCATAAGTTTATTATTAGAAATACAGTAACTGCTCCTTTCTTAATGGTTTATAAATCACAGAAACGTGGAAAAACGCTTGAGAGTTATTTAACTTCTCCAAGTCTTAACAGACGCAGAATATCTCTCATTTTTAAAGTTCCAGTTTATGACAGACTTTATGGGGTGAGTCATAAGAATTTATAAAATATGCTATAAATACAGGCCTTTAGTGAGATCAGAAGGAAAGATGTCACAATATTACGAGGTTACACAATGGAAGGAACTAGACAGGGAGCAAATGGTTTCGTGCAAAATTCAGCTTAAAGTCTAGCTCAGCTATTTGGATAAACTCTTCACCACCTCTGTAGAAATTCCATACATTCTATTACCTACTAGACTTTAAAATCAAGGCTCCTGGGACGGCAGAATAGTTACAAATACTGATTCAGCATTCCTGTCAAAATGCATACATTAAACACCAAATGTATGCCAAGCACTGCACAAATGGACCTTTTGCTTATTTTAATTCCTTCCTGTTAGGTTCCTATAAAACCAGCTTTTAAAGGGATCTTAGAAACTAAGACATTTAAAGCAACCTGAAGAGGAAAAGGGAGAAACAGAGTGAGGACCAACTAATGGGATCTAAAAATACACGTGTAAACCAGTCACAGGAAGGGCTCAACTCATTTGTCTATAAAACACGGTGGCATACTTGACCAGCAGGACTGTTGTGGAGATGAATGCAGTGGTTTTGTGGGACATGATTTAATATCAAGTACTGGTCTTCAGACACTATGCTGAGCCTCTCAAATCTCTGTAAACACATATATACATATATACATTTAATATCAAGTACTGGTCTTCAGACACTATGCTGAGCCTCTCAAATCTCTGTAAACACTGACAGATTAGTGAATGGATAAGTATACACTCTGCTTTTCAAACCAAGAACAGGGACACATCTAACTTTTTATTCTGATTTTAGAATACACTGTTGCTTTTGGTTTTGTTTTTAGAATACACTGCTTTGATCACCTTAAGCTTATCTAAATGTTAAATGTCACATATTGAAAGAAAAAGTGGAAATCTGTAGGATTTATTTAATATGACAATAAATTTTGAAGAATAAAGCCTCCAACTTCTGTACACATGTTTGGACAAATTTTTAATCATCCACTTTTCCCATCAACTCCTCTGTTGCCTGAACACGTGGTCTAGGAGTCTGGCTATTTATTCCTAGGCTCCCGAAAGAGCCCAGGAGGACAGGTTCCTGTAGGGTTCCATTATCATGAAGAGCCCAGGCCCAGAGTCCATGTGCCGAAAGAATAGACTGCAGTCAGTAACTAATGCACGGCTTAGGCCTCGGATTAGGCATATTGGACCTTTCTGTTCTCATCTGTAAAATGTGGATTATAAAGAAAGTGGGCTTATACAATACAATTACAGTACCTGGCAGATAGATAGGTAGGAAGATAGATAGATAGATAGATAGATAGATAGATAGATAGATAGATAGATAGATAGATAGATACAGACAGACTTAAAAGCCTCTGAAATGATCATCATCTATATGGAAACAATAACACTTAACTTT